TCTATAAAAGCCTAAGCGACCGTTCAACCAGTAGCTGTGATGTGCACTGACCACAAGGGGGCAGATGCTCAATGCACAGGCATGGAAACATGGAACAGACTGATGAGTCTCAGAGAGTAGGGGAGATGGGGAAGGGAAGGAAGAGATTAACCAAAGATCCTGTATTTATACTAGAAGCCCGGTGCACAGATTTCATGCACTGGTGGGGTCCCTCGGCCTGGCCTGCAAGGATCGGGCCGAAACTGGCAGTCTGACATCCCCCACGGGGTCCCAGATTGTGAGAGGGTGCAGGCCAGGCCAGGAGACACCCACTGGTGCACAAATCTGTGCACTGGGCCTCTAGTCTTTTTTTCTTTTTTAAATATATTTTATTGATTTTTTACAGACAGGAAGGGAGAGGGATAGAGAGTTAGAAACATCAATGAGAGAGAAACATCAATCAGCTGCCTCCTGCACACCTCCTACTGGGGATGTGCCGGCAACCAAGGTACATGCCCGTGACCGGAATCGAACCTGGGACCCTTTAGTCCGCAGGCCAACTCTCTATCCACTGAGCCAAACCGGTTAGGGCAGGCCTCTAGTCTTATATAAACCACAATAAAAGTTTCAAGATTGTGAAATTAACATTTAAAAACTTACTGATTAGAGACCTTAATAAAATTTTGTCCATTGTCTCAGTAATCTCTTATAGCAAAAGAAATTCCAATATCCTTGATTTCTGTTTTTGGCTTGATCAATCTCTTTTAACACTTAATTGGATCTTGGTATAAAAGGCTTTGAATGTTTTTAGAAAGTAACATCAGTAAGGTTAGTGAAATAAAGTTGGTACAAGTACTGGTAGGAATTAATAGCTAATTTAGTAGCAGGAACTTGAATGCCTGATCCTTTGCTCACTTATGGAATGTTTTTGGGGCTTTGTTCCATAGGAAAAGGCGACACAGTATGTCCCCTAGCCCATCTCGCAGTAGCAGTGGTAGACGAGTGAAATCCCCATCACCAAAGTCGGAGCGATCAGAGCGTTCAGAAAGATCTCATAAAGAGAGTTCGCGGTCCAGGTCATCTCACAAAGATTCTCCTCGAGATGCTAGCAAAAAGGCCAAAAGGTAAATGCAAATCATTTTTTGCAATATTTGAGATACTAATTTCCTTGTCATTCTACCAGTTTTTGATAATGATTTGGTTGGTAGCTATATTTTACAGCAAGCATGTCAAACTAAAAGGCTATCACGGGCCAAATAAACAAGGTTTAAGTTTATGTGGGCCGCAAAAAAACAAAAGCTTCAATTTTCATAGAAACGTAGGTTTATTTCAATAGAGATTTGCTGAATACAAAGGGCTGAAGTAAATGAGTAATCATTAACATAAAATAATAGAACATTTTAATAAAAATTAATGTTTTTTTCTTGTACATTAACTTACGAGATACTGAATAACTGCACAAATTAATAAGTGTAATGCAAATAAACCTATTTTTCTTGTTCTCCGAAAGCAAAATATTTCCTGTTGCACACACCAAACAAGTCCAAGACAATGATGTGGCAATTGGTTGCTAAAATATTCGCTGCTAGTATTAGTGGAGAGAGATGGTGCGCCTGCGTGTCAAGGAAATGAATGCAACACGATTATAGTAATCAGTCATTAGCAAATGTTGTAGTTTGTTATTAATTATGTATAACAGGATATTGTAAAAATTAAGCTGCAACATTTTTATTAAAACTTTTTTTTAATATATATTTTTTATTGATTTTTTACAAAGAGGAAGGGAGAGGGATAGAAAGTTAGAAACATCGATGAGAGAGAAACATCAATCAGCTGCCTCCTGCACACTCCCTACTGGGGATGTGCCTGCAACCAAGGCACATGCCCTTGACCAGAATCGAACTTGCAACCCTTGAGTCCGCAGACTGACGCTCTATCCACTGAGCCAAACCGGTTAGGGCTAAAACATTTCTTACATACTGTTATTGGCCGGGCTGCAAAAATATTTGTTGTGGGCTACGAGTTTGACATGCTTGTTTTACAGGATTTTAGAAAACCAAAAAGATACTTTCATTTTAGATTATGCCTTCCCATCTCCTTACACCAGTCTCGTGACTGAAGCACAATAAGGCTTCCAACAAGTAAAGCCAGCCAAGAACTTTAACATCACATCCAGTGTTTCCTATGGGATAAGGATAGCTGCTTTACTTTTCATTCTGTTCTTTAGTTTCTGTAGAACATTTTTTGATTTTTGTCAAGCCTGAAAAAAAATACATCCTCCTTGCCCCCCATATTTCTCCTGCAATCTTAATAGTAAGTTTTTGGGTAGAGAGTTGTGAAAATAAACACCATTTCTTCAGTGTATAATTTAGTGTATACTTTTTTTCTTACAGTTCGAGAAAAGTGTTTCAGAAATGTTTTATTATCTGGTGTTATTTTCCTAGGAGCTAAAACTTACCTCCTAAAACTCTATTATTGTAACCATTTTTAGTAAAATCTTTATAAAATAGATAAGTTACTGGTATGTATGCACACACACACACACACACATCAATACATTATTTGTTTGGTAATCTTCATGAATAGCATTTACAAAATTGTGCTGTTTCACATAGTTCCCTTGAATGATACTGCAGTAGTTGCATCCTTTTCCCTCAAGGAGATAGGCTACAAAGCTGTCTTCTGTTTAAAATGTCCTGAATGCTAGTAATTAGATGCCATTTTGAACTTTATCTTGTAGATTTAGAGGTTCAGACTTGGAGGTATATCACTAACTTGGGGAACTTATTAAAACTGCAAACCCTCAGTTCTGCCTTGAGATTTTGATTCAGTAGAGTGGTATGGTAAGTCTTAGGATCCTGGCTTTTTAAGCAAGTGCACTATTTATTTATTTATTTATTTATAATTTTATTTTTTAATTAATTTTTTACAGAGAGAAAGGGAGAGGGATAGAGTTAGAAACATAGATCAGCTGTCTCCTACACACCTCCTACTGGGTATATGCCCGCAACCAAGGTACATGCCCTTGACCAGAATCGAACCTGGGACCCTTGAGTCCACAGGCCCACACTCTATCCACTGAGCCAAACCGGTTAGGGCAGCAGGCGCACTATTGATGACTGATGCAATGCACATGAAGTACAAAATCTGTGTGTGCGCGCGTAGGCAGAGTGTAGACCTGGGAAGTTTGCAACCTTATGTATTTCAGTGACTTTTGTTGTGTTCAGTTAAAGCTCATTTTAGATAATTTAAGGAGTCAATTTTGATCTCAGAGTACTGTGATAAATTGTTTTTGTTTGTTTCCTCAGATCACCATCTGGTTCAAGAACACCTAAAAGGTCTAGGCGATCACGGTCTAGATCCCCTAAAAAATCAGGGAAGAAATCCAGATCCCAGTCCCGATCTCCACACAGGTCTCATAAAAAGTCAAAGAAAAACAAACATTGACATACGTTTTTAAGATGCTGTCACTTATTGGAAATTCAATTTTGTTTTGTGCCTGAATGGTCTGTTTAAAAAAAAATCAAATGAAAGAGCATTCCTGGGATTTTTGTTTGTTTATTTGTGAAGCATGTGTAACTGCATCTGTAGACCTGTCATTGTTTTATATTGTGTAAATTACTTTTGTTGTGGCTGTTTTCAAGATGAAATTATTGTGGTAATGAATTTCATCAGAAATGTGTATAATGGATCTGCTGGCAGTAGTAGTATTTTGTTTTAGAATGCTGTGACTTAGCAAAACTAATACAGATGTCTTCCCCCATTTTGTAGCTTTGGCAATTTGAATTAGATTTCAAATAAAATCTGAACAAAAAACCATAATGTTGTTTTTTTGCCCTATTGGTAACATCAAGTCCTTCTACTAAGTGAGTTTAGCACTTCTGTTGTATTTGTATACCTAACACACTATACCTAGCTCCATTGTTCATGCGGCTAAAGTTTTATATTTACTAAGATGACCATAAAAATTAGGGAACCCGAGACTCCTATTTGGTAGGTTTGCAAGCCAGTGTCTTCGATAAGGTTCTCTTGGGTAATACTAGTACCCAGAGGTCAAAAGATAAGGTTAATGTGGCATGGTCTTTTGCTGGCTACAGTAAATTTACTTTTTCAAAGAAGCAATATGATTTCAGTACACTCAACCTATGTCCTGAGCAACTGCTTATTATGAGGGAAAAATTAAATCTCCATCTTTTTATTTTATCCGTAATGAAAAAATTTTATTTTGAAAGCATTTTTCTAATAAGAATTGCCCATAGAATTAGTTGTTTGATAGTTGCCCCTTCATTTTTTATTGTTTTTAATCCTCACTGGGGATATTTTTCCATTGATTTTTAAGGAAAGTGCAAAGGGAGGGAGGAAGGGAGGGAGGGAGAGAAACATCACTATGGAAGAGACACATCAATTAGTTGCCTCCTGCACATGCCCCAACTGGGCCAGGGATCCAGCCTGCAGAGCTGATAACTGAGGTACTTGCCCTTGACCGGAATCGAACCCATGACCCTTCAGTCTGCAGGCCAACGCTCTATCCCCTGTGCCAAACCTTCCAGGGCGATAGTTGCCCCTTTATAGCCCTCCGTAGGCTATCTTCAAAACCCTAGTGTTAGTAAATTTCTACAAGATTCTGTTGAAAGTACCTTTGTTTTTGTGTGTGTGTGTGTGTGTGTGTGTTTAAAGATTTAGTTTTAGCTTTAAGTAAAGTTTAAAAATAAGATAGTTTTAAGGAAACTTAACATCCAATAGTTTGTAAATTCAGGGTGCAGAAAGTTGATTTAAACCATTTGCAGAGTTGCAATCTGTTATGCAGTGGGAGAAACATTGCTGCCGTCTAAGGAAGAAATAAGAATCCTTGTATGATGTTGATCACAGTATTGCTATAAATGTAATGGGATAAAGGGCTTTGTAAATGGAACCGACACTGCTCTTTTTGAATCTGTCTCCGTTTCACATTTAGGCACTGTGATTTCATGGGTTTTTCCCCTTAAAAGAGAGTAGAAAATGATCCCAAATAAGTTGTTTTGAGTTACTATGCTTTTTAAAAATATATTTTCAATTGTTTTACTTAATCTTGCCTAGTCACAAAATAAAATAAGTTGTACCCATTTTGGAAGGAGTTAGGTATATTAGCCGAGCAGTGAGGCATGCTATTTCCAAACTGGTCAAACCTACAATAGCTTTAGAAGTGAGCCAATCATATTATTTTACCTAGTGGTTCTTTTTATTTTTTATTTTTTTTTACTTAGTGGTTCTTATCAACATGCAGTATTGCTTGGAAGTTATTTTTTTATTGTTCATTTTTTTGTTTGTTCGTATTTTTTAATTTCTAAGTGTTGCTCAAAATAAACATGAACATTTGGTGCTGGTTTTTAAAAACTACAAATACAGCCATTTATAAAAAATTATCTTTTTTTGCAAAAATTATAATGTCGAGTTTCTGCTGATTTGGGCATTCCATCATTCTCTGGTATCTATTATAGGCTTAGAAATAACTGAAGTCGGGTAACGATTTTGCCAGTCAAGTTGCAAGGAATGCTTACTTCTATCTTAAAACATATCTGAGAGAAGTAGGAGTGAGTAGAAATTGTTAGGTCGGTTGTGGGTGCTTATTTGTAGTATTTTTTTCTACTGCAATGGGATTTAGCAGTTCTTTTAATGTGGAACCAGATACAGTGAACCTAGTTTATGTCACAGTGGGTAAAACTGGCTTCCTTTTGGATGCATGGGTGGGGATTGCTTGGTCTTGATAGAATATGTATTCTCTGAAGTTTGTTAATGTATGTATTAGGTTGTATGGGATTTTTTTTCCTGGAATTGCAATACTATTGTTAGATAAATTTTACTTACTGAGAAAATATCTAAAGTAAGCCTGTTTAATTCTCCATAGATTTCTATGAAAGTTTAAGGGGATCCAGAAATTGGTGAATATTAGTGGGGAGATTGTCTACCATATTTTTATAGTAGCATATTGCATAATGCTAAATTGGTTAGCAAAATTTTTACAGGTTGACTAAAATGTTAATAGGCAAGGCCTTCTAGTTACAGGAAATGCCCTGTCTTGCTGTCTCTGTGACAGACAGTTACTATTTTCTGCCATAGTTGTCTGCTCTTCTTATAAAGGGCGTGGTATAAACCCTTTACCCTCTAACCTATTTATACACAGGTATTCTATACCAGGTTGATCCTATCTAATAAAGAGGTAATATGCAAATTGACCATCACTCCAACACACAAGATGGCCGCCCCCATGTGGACACAAGATGGCCAGCAGGGGAGGGCAACTGTGGGTGATCAGGCCAGCAGGGGAGGGCAGTTGGGAGGGACCAGGCCTGAGAGGGAGGGCAGTTGTGGGCGATCAGGCCTGCAGGGGAGGGCAGTTGGGGGTGATCGGGCCAGCAGGGTAACAGGTGTTGATCAGGCTGGCAGGGGAGTGGTTAGAGGGTGATCAGTCTGGCAGGCAGAAGCGGTTAAGGGTATTCAGGCAGGCAGGCAGGCAAGCGGTTGGGAGCCAGCAGTCCTGGATTGTGAGAGGAATGTCCAACTGCCCTATTAGGCCTGATCCCCCTAAACTGGCAGTCAGACATCCGTTAAGTGGTCCCAAATTGGAGAGGGTGCAGGCTGGGCTGAGGGACATCCCCTCCCATCCCTCCACCCCCCCACCCCTGTGCATGAATTTCATGCACCGGGCCTCCAGTCTATAATAATAAAAGTGTAATATGCTAAATAGACCAGTCTTTCTCCTGGTTGAAGCCGGGGCTGCGAGGGAAGCCTGGGTCCTGGGTTCCAGAGGGAAGCTGGTGCCAGCAGCTGGGGGAAGGAAGGCCTACTCTTGCATGAATTTCATGCATTGGGCCTCTAGTATCATAATCTCCCTCTCTTTTACAAGTGAGAGAAAGGAAGTAAATGGGAGTCTATTTCTTACCAAAGAGAGACCTGTGATTGAAAGAATCATGTTTGGGAATTTTTTTTTTTACACTGTCTTTACTGTTAGTAAGTGTATGGGCATTTCTGAGCTGTAACATGTTGAGTACTTAGAGATTAAAGAACTAAACAAAAAGCCCTGACCCCAGAGAATGCTCTTATTTGTCTCAGAATGTTTTTGGCTTTCGAGACAAAGTTTGCAGAAGTTATAGCTTGGCCTAATTTTTCTTCATTGCAGACCATTCCTGTGGGCTTACCCTGAGACTTTTATCCTAATTAAGGAATATCAGAGGGAGGAAAGATTTGTATTTTGCCCCCTAAACTTGGGTATTCTTGAGCACCTGAAAATATTTTTTAATACTAGTTGTGCCCTAGCTGGTTTGACTCAGTGGAGAGAACATTGGCTTGCAGATTGAAGGGCCCTAGGTTGATTCCAGTCAAGGGCACATGCCCGTGTTGCAGGCTCGGTCCCCATTGGGGGGCGTGCAGGAGCCAGCTAGTCAATGATTATCTCTCATTGGCGTTTCTATCTCTCCCTCTCCCTTTCTGAAATCAATAAAAAAAAATTTTAAAAGCAAATAGTAAAAAAAAAAAAAAAGAAAAAGAAATTCCAGTTGTGATCTAATTGAGGTTTATTAGAAACTAGAAGCCCGGTGCACAAAAATTTGTGCACTTGGGGGGGTCCCTCAGCCCGGCCTGCGCCCATTTGCAGTCCAGGACCCCTTGGGGGATGTCCACCTGTCGACTTAGGCCCACTTCCCAGGGGATCAAGCCTAAGCTTACAGTCAGACATCCTTCTGGCAGCCAGGGAGCCCTTGGGGGATTTCCGACTAAAGGCTTAGGCCCCTAAAGGATTGGGTCTAAACCAACATTCTTAGTGCTGCCACGGAGGGGGGAGAAGCTCCTGCCACCATCACTGTACTGGCCAGCCATGAGCCAGCTTCTGGCTGAGTGGCACTACTCCTCGGTCTGACCTAAACCCTAGAGATTAGTACTTCATTTTACAACTTTTTCTCGGTTTATAGGCAGCAGCACACTCAGACCACACACTCAGGTGTGCAAGAAATGTTGCTTTCTTTATTGCTTAGAAATCAAA